ACCCTTCCTGGATGCCACTCTGATCCCTTTCCTCTGCCTGGTTTTCTGATCTAATTTCTGCTCTCTGCCCTGTCTGATCTTCTGCTCTGCTTCTCCCTGTCCTATCTGCTGCTGTGATGCTGTCTCTTCCCTGATCTGACTCATGCCACACACATAGGCTGCCTATGCCACTTGCGCCACAGGCTGGCCACCCCTGGTATAAACTGTATTCTGATTTTTAAGTGCATGGACATTATTCACGTATCATCATTCATCTGTGCTACCCCTTGCTAGTTAGATAAACACAATGAACTGTCAAAATAAGTTCCGGGAAATAAAACCCAAAGAAAAAACTGTCAGTTTAAACAGAACCATATTTAGAGCTTCATACTTCTACATGCCATCTTCTTCACTCAGATGTAACGTACTGTATATTTACTACATAAAAAGGAAGGATTTATAGAAACTGGATTCATGACGCCTGATTCTGCTCTAACATATATAGGTGAAACTCAGGAATAACTCTATTTAAGTTGATAGAGGTACACTGTTGAGAAACTGGTGTAAGTGAGATTAGAAACATGCCCTTGGTTCACACTAACAGGTCATGTGGCTAAAGTATTTCCATATACAGAACTTTGCAACACCATTAACACTCTGTTACAAAACACCACAGTGATGATTATTGGCACATAGAAATCTCCTTTCTCTATATGAAAACATACACAAAATAGATAAGAACTGCCATTTTCTCTGACTTTTAAAATCTATAGATTTGCCTTAAGGAGTTTACCCCCCACCCCAGTAGCACAAACAACAATATTTCTCTAACAATGTTCACCTAAAAGAATTGACTGTGCTGACATTTTTAACACTGCTAAAACCTAAACCACTTCATAGATTATGTTGAACTATACTGTACACAAGGCTATGAAGATTTATAGAAAACCACCAATATTTTTGCACAGAAAATGTGACTTATTTAGGTCTGGACAACAATTCAGAGTCATTTTTATAGGCAGCAGCTACATGTAAGCTGTAAATATTACCCGCAATAAAACACATTTTGCCGTAAAGCACATATTGTGGATTATCTGCTTCTGGCCTGGTACATGAAGCTCTATTTTCTTTCAGACAAAGAGGAATGGGATTTGGTTCATTGGAATCTCTCAGAAAAAGTGCACAAACATCTTTGCTTTTTAAAGTGCTTAACAGAACTTTGCCTTTCAACGAAACTCCTTCCATACTACAGAACAACACATCTCCTTTGTTTGAGCAATGCTTAGCTAATAAAAATAAGGCTTTATGTATTTTCTTACAGTGTTTAATCCCCCCCCCTCCAAATTGTTAAAATCAGATTGAAGTTGAGCGAGCAAAATCCCAGATCTATGAATTGGGTCCACCCTTAACTACCCACTGGATGCTGTCCACAGGGCCAGGCCCAGTGCCCTGAAAGCCAAAGGGAAGACTCCCATTAACTGTCACAAGCTTCTCTCAAGGCCTGAGGGTCAAACTTGGTTTAGTGCCCCAACCAGGCAATTGAGGGCTGTGGGGACTCTGCAGATGAAAGGGAGAGAGGAGAGATGGAGCTCCACCATTCTTCCAGCTCAGTCCTGGACCCCCATCGAATTTTCACACACAGAGGAGTATCGTCACTGTTGTCAATGGTAGTAATCCCCAGACCTGGGCTCCACAGTTCCACAAATTTCTAATTTTGTAAAATAGCAGCGGGACCCCTGCTATAGGGCCCTCTGCACCCATAGAGGAGCAGCAAGATCTGCCAATCTGGCATATTCACTTTGGTGAATAAACTTGTTTGTCTCCACCAACCCCCTCCCCACCTTGGGGGCAGGCACTTTGAGGTAAGTAACAAAAGATTTCTTGTCTGTGGGATCTCAACTGAAACATCACTTTAGAAAACTCTTTAATACAGTATCTTTGTTCTTTGATTTCCCAGCAGTAACTTTTCCACAAATGAAATATCACAACTTCCAATTCATTCAAAAAGATGTTAGCATGGTAACATTTCTTATGATGTATCTTTCCCTATTACATGGGTATCACTGTCCATGGCTGTCACTGCAAGTCACAAGATAATAAATACACTTATGAAAATGAACTACTGTGCATGCATTGCAACTACATTTCATTTTTTATTGATTCCTAAAGGCTTAGTCCCTTTTATTATCTTCAAAACTTTTTAAAGTGTTTATTTCAATAACTTGACAAGGGGCAGAAACAAGTAGCAAATAACTTTAGAGAAGTTATTTAGAATTCTAAAACTGGTTAGCATATTGCGATACATGAACTAAATCAAAAGGATTAAAAATGCATCTGGACTAACTTTTCCTGCACTTATTTTCAGACTAACATGATGCGAAGCAGCAGGGGTATCAAATACCACAAATTTTAATGAACAACAGATAGGCCAATTTACCCAAAATTGTGCTACCAACTTGACTCTAACTTTCCTGACGCATGGAACACCTGAATTAAGTATGCAATACTCGTAACAAAACAATATCACATCTTCTACAGAAAGCTTTTAATAAAAATATTGTGCATTGTGCTTAGGCATACTTTTAAAATTAAAATCTTACTGTAAGAAATTATTTGGCTACATTGTATTTATATCCTTTTATCTGGAATGTTATTAAGTCTACCCCATGCTAGCAAAATTTTTTAAAACTTAAAATATGCACAAATATAAAAAATCTGTTGCAAAATAGAAACATTTATTTAATATTCTTCATACATTATAAATGTTCACAGATTCTAAAAATAAAACCCTAATTGTGTAAGAGTAATTTCAAGTATTTATTTGATCTCATTTTTCTCATAAATAAATCTTGTATTATGTCTAATGCTCCTAAGATATGGAATGTTATCTCTGATTTTGTAAAAATGAACAGGAATAGGAAGACAAACTCCACTGAGGTGGGGGAGAAGTGACAGAAAAGAAACCAGTAGGTTTTGTGCCCTTATTATTCAGCTATATTCACTACTGAAATGCCTGGTGTGATTTTAGATGCTGTGTGGAGAGCAGGTAAATGTCATGCAAGACTTTAGAAAATGGTCTGCAATAAGATTAATAAGATTAAAATCACAAGAGTCAGAGAAAAATAGTTGAGTACTGTGTGCACAGTTGAATGCCATTTATGCAAACATCACTGAAACAATGTTGACAAATGAAGATGGTCTTCTGTTGCTAAAAAGCCCCAACATTGGTCTGAAAAACAAGACACTGATCTTGTGACAAGGTACTATCACAGTAACTTTACTTTGGTTATGCCACGTGAGTGACATCAATGCAATTATTTTTGTGTACTCATGGATGTTGGTGCAACAGGGGGACATGAAATGAATACTGAAAGTACTATTCACCACCTGCATTCTAACGAATTTGGCCCCAGTCCAGTAAAGCACTGTATGGAGGAGACTAATCACGTGCATTAAATCAAGTACATACTTAAGTACTTTGCTGGATCCTGGTCCTAAGTCCCAATTTACAAAAGTCTTTACATACCTGCTTACGATGACTCCTAATGAGGACAGACACTAGGTAAGCACACATTGAAAGTTATACACTTGTTTACAGGCTGTCCTGAAGAGGGACACTTTCCTGACATAGGGCTTTGGAGAAGACTTTTGGGCTTCAGGCAGAAACCAGTTTGCCCGTAAAAGTGTTTGGTCTTGCCTATTACAAGTGCAGCTTACGAATGATTATGACTATGGCATGCCTTTGGTGAAGGTCGTAAATAGGCAATGGGTGTGACAATTGGGGTGTGTCCATGAGCCTGTACATGACGGAACATTTTCAACGGCGGGTACTCCAAACACAAACATACCATGCGCTTAAATGAGAGTAGAGGTCTAATCCCAGAGAGCCCGGTGCTCCAGCTGCTCAGGTAAGTCAGTGTTCAGAGTCCAGCAGTGCCTAAGTTTTGAGAATCTGATTTATTGAAAAGCCCCTCCTTTTGTCACGCTTTCCTCTCCATTTCCAACCCAAATTACAGAGGGACATTTTAAAACCTTTCCCTTTTAAAAATGTTTCTTTGATTGTTTTTACAAAGTTATAAAGACAGCCACAAAAAGACACTGAACAGACAAAATACACAAAATAAGGGGGAAAGAGTAAGAAAAACCCCTGTATAAAATTATATAGAACAGTATAAACCAGACCTGGAAATTGCAATAAAATCTTATTATCCATGTGACCTACTAAAAATAATTAGGTAACAAATAACATTTTGTTTTTTAAACAGCAAACCCACATTCAAGGTATTTCTTTCCACTCCAACAGAAGGCAAGCAAGCCCACCTCTAGAAATGGAATGACAGTTTCACTGAAATATACATAATGCAAATAAAGGCATGTTTTACCAGGGGACAGGGAGCCATATATAAGCAAAGGGGTTTTTCCATATTCTTTCAAAGGAACGAATATTTCTAAGGTATGAGTCTGAATTTCTGACCTTTTTCAAACTTATATCTCTGAAGGATTAAAAAGGAGAGGACAGTAGACAAGAAAATCACATTAATGTACCCTTACAAAACCCAATTTTATGCTAAAGTAAGTATATTTTTGGCAGGTGAAAAAAATATAATTTTATAATAATTGTTTTATTCCTGTGGTGAGGCCACATGAATAGATTTTTGTGCCTGACATGGCAAATTTTCTTGACAATTTTGCAATGCTTCGTAAGGCAATTAATGAATACAAGTAAATGTAGGCTTTTGTCCAGTACTACATTTTGAGGGGATCTAAGTATGCTGGTTAAGTGAAAGGAGACAGATTTACTAGGATCACGTTGCACAAACACCAATATCAATGGCAAGCGATAGGGATATCAAATTGCAATCAACATTCAGCTTTTCAGCACAAATGCTTTACCATGATTTTATTTTTTCAAAATGGTGATATTTTGTCTTCAAACAAGGTGCATACCTGAATGCTCAGATGCACAAACAGGAGGGAAAAAAATCATTTCCATTTAACCTAGGCCTTTAAATTGCACTTAATAATCGATGTTACTTCTTGTGTGGACAGTCATGATTACCTACACCTTGTTGTGAGCTTATAGTTGTTCTTTGGCAATTTAGTTCACAAATGCCACCTACTGTTTATATTATGTAGTCAAAGAGCAGTAGTTGGACAATATAAAACATCCATTCTGAGATTATAGTTGAAACACTGAGCATGTCCAATCACCACAAAGCACCAAAAAGTGGAATTCCATCAGAATAACTTAGAGACCTCTTGCCTACATATACAGAAGATATTTGTATTTTCAAAACTCAGTTATCGTTGTAAATATTTACTGCTATAACAACCTGTGGATTTCACATTTTGCTTATTACACAGCAGAATAATTTGAAGGGCCACAGAAGTGTAAACACAAGGTCTTTTATGATCCATCTGGTTTCTGATTGGCCATTATATTATTTTTATCAGTAAATAAAGATAATCACTCTGTATCACTGTGTGCTATCCATTTCATTTGGTGTAATGCACAATTTGGAGTAATTCAGGAGGGTGCAGAATCGCACACGGTTGGTAAAAATTTATATTACCATAGAATGAAATTTCCTTTGGAAGCCATTGCTTTCACTTATCAAGAAAACAGCAGAACATTTTATTGTCTACCAAATGAAGTAATATAGAACATAAAAGCATTTGTAACAAAACAGTAGAAAGAAGAACCAGACCAGAAGCAGGGCAGTGAGGTCACCAAGAGCTGTTCTTCCCCCAGAAGGCTTTTAAATGATTAAATACATCAGCAGCTGAAAATTATTCCACATCAGAAGCATCATTGTCAGAAAGATGATAATTACTTCCCTTCACCCGAATATATTCAATATACCTCCCTTCATCAGAATCTGACATACCACATGTACATAGCTTGCTTTCAAATAAAGATTCAATTTCCTCTAGTTTTTTCCCTTTAGTCTCAGGAAGGCATCCGTAGATGAAAATGAGTCCCACGCCAGCAAACCCTGCGTAGAGGAAGAATACTCCTGCAATATAAAACAACACACGTACCAGGTTACATAATATTTCCTCTCAGCCTTTTTTATGGAACAAAAGGAGCAATAGAATTTAGAAGCTACAGAAATCAAAGAAGTCTGTGAAAGTAAAGATTTCAGCTGTAGCATTACAATAAAAACTAGATGAATGTGGACACAAGGAAAGAATGCTTTATTATACGACACTATAATAGCTCAAATGAAGAAGGAAGCAATTATTCCATTTGGTTTTGGAGTAATGTGGAAATTTATATGGATCTTTTTCACTTAACTGCTTCACACTTAAAAATAAGTAGCAATAACACTATAGGAGGCCGAGAACAAAGACAGGTATGAAGCACAAGGGGCTCTCCCTCCTATGTGAAAGGACCCTGAGATGACCTCAAAAGCATAAGGCATGTTCACACTGCAGCAGCAGCAGCAGCAGCATTTTCTAGTGGGGAATGTTACCATATATGACCCCCTGGCTTGCACTCTCCAAATCCAGAAATAAAGCCATAAGATTGCTTTGGGGTGGCCTCATATGGTGGCTCTTGAGACCTCAATCTCCACTGTTTTTGGGAGTGTCTGTGGGGGATGACCTTGGCTATGTCACCACAGGGAAGATGTGGCCACAGAAATGTTTAAAGAAAATAGACAACAGAAATACAAGAGGTAAACTCAAACTGTAGAATGTCTCCTCTCTAATTATGGAAATTTTGATGTGACAGACGAAGGTGGCTCTGTATCTGCTTTGCCAGAGGGCAGACAAGATCAAAGACCAACAGATCACCATCAGTGATCCCACCAATCCACAGAATGATGGTTCAACATCATGGCCAAATACTGCTCTAGAAGGACTCGGGGGTCACAGGACTGCCTGTGAATCCTGCTGTGAAGTTCTACCTAGACTATGGCATGAAGAAGAATCTCAGCTGCCACTACATGGTAACTCTTTACAAATGCTGCCTTTTTCAACGGGAACTGTTGTAGTTCACTAAATAGACTGTTTCTTTTATATCATATTACCATCTTTTCAGATTCTCCTTTTCAGTAGAAGTCATTAAGCTAATGTCAACCAGCTGAACTTGCATACTACCACAGGGCTAAAATATCCATAATGTGAACTGCAGCAAATTTACATACCATGGTATGTAAAATATTAGCATCAGATATACATACTACTTACCATAGTATGTAAGGTACTCTGCTGTATGCAAAAATGTCAGTGATACAAGAACATTGAAAATCCAGTTGACACCAGATGAACATGCATTCCCTATGCTTCTGGCCCAAAGTGGATATATTTCAGAATTTACTGTCCAAGGCATGGGTCCCATTCCTGAGAATATCAGAAAGATTTACTTTAGCATAACAATCAATGGAACAGTAAGAAAAGTTCAACATGGTCTGACTATTCCAAACTTTTAGGTGTTCGAGAATTATTTTAAAGCTACATGCTAAAACAGGGGACAACCATTTTGTCACATGCCACAAATTAAGCCCCATGCCTTCTTCAAGCACCACTCCAATTCCCTTCCCCTGTCTGATCTGCTGTCCTGCTATTTGCTTCCTGGCCTGTGCTCCTTGCTTGATCTGTTGCTCTGCTTTCTTCTCTCTGTCCTGACAGTGTTCCTTGTTTGATCTGCTATTCTGTTTTCTCCCTGTCCTATCTGTCACTATGCTGCCTGCCCCCTAATCTGCTGCGTGCCACATACAGAGGCTACCTGTGTCACTTGTGGCACAGAAACCACAGGTTAGCCACCCCTGTGCTAAAACAAGTATTTGTTTACCAGGTGCGAAGAAAACCAGGTATAAAATAAGGCCCAAAAGAGCTGTCCAAGCGTAGGGAGTAGGACAGTAGTTGTATGCCCAAAATAAATCTTCTCTTTTGAACGTGGTTTCATTTGAACACCTGAAAAATAACCATATATAATGAACATTAGATAATACTTTTCAGAAAACGAACAGCATTTAAATATGAAACATCTTAGTCAAAGTGCTAGAAATGTAAGATCAAATAAGTATACAATTAGAAATCTGAACTGTCCCTTAATTTAATCAAGACATTTTGGGCCAAATTCTATATTCAGGTATGCAGCATCTTCCAGTGCTTTTCAAAGATACTTTGTGTTTAATACCATAGCCCAAGGAGGAATATGAGAAGAGGTCTTCATTTTAACAGTGGACTCCTGTCTACAATTCTTCAGTGGAACAGTCTCTATTTCCAATCGGACCATTCACGCAACTGTTGCTCACCCGAGTCAGAACTTCAGTATTAGGTCTCTAGGTAAAATGTGGTACATGGATTACAGATAAATTTACAGATTGGTGACCGATAAAAGAGGCAAGAGACAGGTCTACAACCTGATCTTTTATTGCTTACACCCCAAAACACGGAAACAAACACTAATCCCAAAGTCTGTGTCTACTTGTGACAGCACAACATAGACAACACATACTTACACTGGGCTGGGGAGACTCAACTGCGGGGAAGAGGTGGCAGGTCTGCCTCACTTTTCTAAATTTTCCATATTTCCCTCCAGCCCATATCTTAAATTTGTAGATGCCTATTCTAATAAATGTTTTGCTTGGTTTTATTTGTATTTCTTTGTTTCACTGAAAATTTTGGCACTGGAGTAAACCAGATTTCTTGTAAACCTGAAGATGTCAGTTAGTTGGGATTTATGTTCCTGTGAAAGTTACACTTCCATAACTCTATCCTGTTCCCCTCGTAATTGTGGAGTGCTTCTTTTTCCTCCCATCTTAGTTTATGGTCTTCTCTGATAAGGCTGCTTTGCTTTTACAACTTTTTTAAGAATTTTACCAAAAATGCATCTTTTACAGCAAAACAGCATCTAATATATTTAGTTACACTAATCATTAGTATAAGCTAAAGCTACGATACAGTATATTTGGATCATCTAATTTAAGGCCTTATTTTCTTTTTAATTGGATCTCATTACTGGTGTAGCTGGACATGTTGATGGCTTCCTTTGTTTTGCTGACCAAGCTCTGGTTGTCACATCTGCAAAGGTTCATTTTACAGTCATTTAGGGCATTTTTACATTTGGCAGGGAGAGTGGGGGTGCTTTAATTAGCAAGCCATGCTAATTAAAAATGCCAGAGCATCACATGTATCAGCATCCCTGCACCAAAAAATGGCAGCGGGGTGCTTTAAACTAAAGCTCATTGAGTGAACTTTAATTCAAAGTACCCTGCCGCCATTTTTTGGCAGGGTACTTCGGTGCAGGGATGCTGATACATGTGATGCTTGAGTTTGCTGGAGCGCTGGATTTCCAGCATATTGGAGCAGGCTCCCTGCACACATCTCAGAGACAGGCTTTGGGGCCTTTGGCTTAGCCACACTTCTGCAGCTTGGTCTGGACCCCTTGAAAATGGTGAGGTTGGCAACATATGCTACAGCAGTAGCATTTGGCCAGAGGCACAGCTGGCCAGAACCGTGCTTGGGGCAGTCCCCCGCCCCCTCCCTTTCCCTGTAGCTTTTCTGGCTCTGAAAGGTTTGGCCGTCTGCAGAAGCAGCAGCTGGAGTTCACTGGTGCTGAGGGGAGATGTCACCTCATTTTTGTCCTGCAGACATTTATGTCAATGGCCACAAAAACTCCTAATTTCAGTGGCAAAAAATAGGGTGACATCTCTCCCCAGCAGCAGCAAACTCCAGCTGCTGCCCTCCTCAGGACTACATTTCCCGACGTGCCCTTCACTCACTGGCACACACGCTGCTGCTGTTTACTGCCAGAGGAGGGGGCAGCAAGGTGAGGAGTCCCTTCCCCTGGACACTACTCTGGAGCTGCTTGTGCCTGTTCGGTGACTGCAGATGTTAATGTGACCACTTGCACTTCTTGCCACTAATGTAACCAAGGGAGCCTTTCTTCATTCACTAAGCAGTAAACTGCTCATTGAGGAACCTTTCTCATTCAGTGTCTGTCTGTTTGCTTCCAGCTATGAGGTGACAAATACGCATAATGGCTCAATATCATTCAAAAAGAAGGCTATCATCTTTTTTTTTTAATCAACCTTTCATAGCATTTCATGCACTGCACAGTTCAATTCAAGCATTGTCCGCAGAGTGATATTTACATACACTGGTGAGCTGCGGGTATGCTGGCGATTTCTCAAATATGAGTTATATCAAAACCTGCTTAATTTCCAAGCACCTGGTGACAACACAGCCTTCGCCCATTACCATCCTTTCCATTTGCGTCATTATCAAATCACGGGATTGCTCGGACAATTTCACAGTTTCACTACTACACATACGCTTCTTTTACTGCTACTTTTATTTCATTTGCAGGTGCTTAGTAATGAATACCAGCTGATTATCACTTTAAAATGTCTGGATACAAACAATGCAGTAATTAGTTTCTTGATTCCTTTCAGCCAGTACTGCAGCTGCCCCTCGAAGAACAGTTCGATGCTTTCTTGTGAACGTGTCTCTCAGTAAACAAAGATGTTACTTGGTTTATTATCTTGTATCCATTTATATCAGCATGCACCAACCTGCTGATTCACAGAGCCATGCCACCAGGAGGCCTAGATGTTTCATTTTACCACTGTTTTCTCCCAGATGTGTCCTACTTTTGACAGAGTGGAATAAACAGACTATATGAAAAAAACACATGTTGTTAAAAACCTCCTACTGCTGAGGCCACTGATCTTTTCCTGCTAGAACCCCCTGTAAGCGAGAGGAAGCTCTGTTTCAGGAACATGGATTCAGTGCGACAGAAATAAGAACAGCATGAGAAAATGGAATTGGCAAAACCTCAGCGAGTATGAATCTGTCTCAAACAGCAAGCATTAGCTACAGACAGAGCTTTGCACTTGCTGTAGGATAGCACACCAAGAGATGCAAATACATAAACCTCATTCAAGGCCAGCACTCCGAAAATTTACTGCAGCATGAAGTACTGCTCATGTGGTCATTTTACTACAATCATCTATCATGTTACTAAGGACTATCTTACTAGTAATAGGTACTGCATGGTACACAGCTCCTAAAGAGCTGTACCTGGTACTGAATGAATGGAAAGCCTATGGCAGCTGCTCAAATACTTTCCCAGCAATCTTCAGAGATGCAAGTTCAAAGGAGAAAATTTCACAGCAATAGTTTGTAAAAGAAATTATGCAAATCAGGTACTAGTGCAAAGGGTTTATAAATAACAAGACTGTGTCAAATCATTACCATAAAACTATAAACTGTAAGGATGTATTGGTTCATTTCCCCTCAAAATGCAGCTTAAGAGAGAACATAATAGTCTTACAGTTAAAATAATTTAATACAAGTTGCTTTTGTTAAGTAGGGTCTACAGACAGTTTTAGCAGCACCTTTTATTCTAATTAATGAAAATTAAACAACTATTGAAAATGAATAATTCTAGCCAAAAACACAGTCCCCCAGGATCACTCAAACGTTTTAACAGCAGATTTCATCAGCTCTACAGACTGGAAACAAATCTAGAACAATAGTACAATGTTTTAGTATATGTATTATATTTGATGACATGCTTTAGTGAATTTGTAGAAATTCATATTCACATGGTAATATCTATTTGTTGAACTTAGATAAGATAGTTACAAGGTGTTCTGTATATTATTGCTAGATGAGACCACTGATACTTTGACAAATTATGCCCTCTCCTTTATTTGAAATAAATACAATCACAAGCAAAACACACGATCAGTTTATGGGGTTATTTAAAAAAAATATGTGCATACATAGAATCATAGAAAGTTATAGTTGGAGGGGACCTCAAAAGGTCATCTAGTCCAACCGCCTGCTCAAAGCAGGACCATCCTCAGCTAGATTATCCCAGGCAAAGCTGTGTCTAGCCGGGTTCTGAAAACCTCCAAGGATGGAGATTCCACCACTTCTGGGTAACCTCTTCCAGTGTTTTACTGCCCTCCTAGTGAGAAAATTCTTTCTAATATCTAACCTAAAGTTCCCTTGCTGCAACTTGAGACTGTTGCTCCTTGTTCTGTCATCTGCCACCACTGAAAACAGTCTGGCTCCATCATATTTTGAACTCCCTTCAGGTAGTTGAAGGTTGCTATTAAGTCCCATCAGTCTTCTCTTCTCTAGATTAAATAAGCCCAGTTCCCTCAGCCTCTCCTCCTATGTCATGTGCCCCAGCCCTTTCACCATTTTCACTGCTCTCTGCTGGACTCTCCCCAATTTGTTCTTTCTGGGGTGGGAGACCCAGAACTGAACACAGTACTCCAGATGTGGTCTCACCAATGCTGACTAGAGGGGAATAATCACTTCCCTTGACCTAATGGCAACACTCCTACCAGTGCGGTCCAGTATGCTGTTAGTCTTCTTGGCAACAAGGGCACACTGCTGGTTCAAATTCAGGTTACTGCCCATGGTAACCTCCAGGTCCTTTTCTGCAGAGCTTCTGCCCACCCAGTCAGTCCCCAGGCTGAATCCTAGCCCGACTACTCCCCTCAGCTTTGTGTTATCTGCAAATTTGCTGAGGGTGCACTCTATGCCATCTTCCAGGTCATTGATGAAGACATTGAACAAAACTGGCTCCAGGTCTAACTCTGGGGCACTCCACTTGATACCAGCTGTCAACTAGACATTGACCCATTGATTACTACCCTCTGAGCCTGATGCTGCAGCCAGTTTTGTATCCACCTTACAGTCCATTCATCCAGCCCATACTTCCTTAGCTTGCCTGTGAGAATGCTGTGGGAGACGGTACCAAAAGCCTTGCTAAAACCAAGGTATATCACATCCCCCTGTCTCCCCGTATCCACAGAGCCAGTCACCTCATCATAGAAGGCAATCAGGTTGGTCAGACATGGTTTGTCGCTGGAAAATCCATGCTGACTGTTCCTAATCACCTTTTTCTCCTTCAAGTGCTTAGAAATGGATTCCTTGAGGATGTACAC